TTTTTTTTTTTTTCCCCCCCTGCTAAGGTTTATTTCACACAGTGGGGCTCAGTCCTTCTTGGCATCTATGTTCCTCATGGTGGCCAGCTTGTTGCTCAGCTCCTGCAGCTTCCTCTTTGGTGCATATATGCATCCCTCCCCTTTTCTTAATGAACTTGAGGGCTCTTTTGTGCTTGGAGACCTTGAACAGCTGTATGTTACCACCCTTATTGGCAAAGCCACCCAACTCCCAGATCTTGTGCTGTATAAACTTGGTGTGCTTGGGAGGCATCTGAGGCACTGGTTGTGCCTTGGTTTGCTCACGTTCTTAGTCATCTTGTGGCCCTTGTTGAGGCCCACAGACATGTTATAGCACAGAGCTGTGATTGCTGCTGCTGTTCAGTGTTTGCTGCAGCAAAGGGATCAGTGCCTCAAGAAACCTAGTGTGTTTCTCTTAAACCTTATGTGGGACTTTAGTTCTCATTGCAAAGTATTACAAGGGAAGAAGCATAAAAGAACTATAGTAGTGGTGGCACACCAGTGGTATGCGTGTGACAGCAGGTTTTTGTAATATTTAACACTCTAAAAGTTTTGCCATCCCTGAACTATGGTGTTTAGAGGAAGGGGCTGCGCAAGGTTATTAGAAGAGGTCACAGAGTAGACCATAGAATTCTGGTGGTTTTATAAGAGGAAGAGAAACCAGAGTTCCCCTGTCCCCAACACACACACATACACACACACACACACTCACACTCACACTCATATACTCATATTCATGGTTATCATGTGATGCTTTGCTGCCTGGTTACTCTGCCAGCAAGAAAGCATCACTAGATGGAGTCCTGCCATTTTGGCCCAACTCATGAACTCAGATCTTTTTTTGGTAACTGCCCAGGCTCTAGTATTGTGTTATTAGCAACAGAAAACAGACTGATACATACTGTTTTCAAGTTTCTGTGAGCTCTCCATCTTTTTTTTTTTTCAGATATGAGACTTCAGAGTTCAGTACTGTTTATTGAAATAGGCTTTAAATACAGTCTTTTTTTATATCAGCATCATGGTCCAGGGCAGCTCACTCAGCAGTCTTTGTAGATAATAACATGTATGAATAAGAAGTTAGACTTAGTGATCTTAGGCACATCACTTAGTTTGGCCGTGTGTGTGTGTGTGTGTGTGTGTGTGTG